TACTTGGGCAGCTTCATGAAGTACTGAGTAGGAGATGAAGAAGGAGGAAGCCTTTCCCCTCCCAGCCAAGTTGCCTTGCCTTTCAAGCCAAACTCACCATCTCCTGCTGGATGGCACACAGGTGTTGTTGATCATGCTCTCCTTAACCCTTGTTAATTTATCGTGAGCTCTACCTTGCTTTTGGTGTTCTGCAAAGTCCCAACCAACCAATATCATTATCCCCACATTGTAGGTGAGCATCCTGAAAAAGAGGTCAGGAGGATGGATTCTTTTTTCCGGAGTTAATCAAGCCCGGAACATTTAGAATGGTCATTAACGCCCACTCTCCCCAGCACCTCCTCCGGCAACCATCCCCCCCCCCCCCCCCCCCCCACCCCCCCCCCCCCCCCCCGCACACAAGCATCCTCTTCATCCCCTTCCCTGTGGGGAAATGAACTCAGTCATGCAAGCAGAATACAGAGAGAGCTGGCAGCATGGATTTTATTGGCCAGCAAGGATGCCAGCCCCAGAGCGAGCTACTCGTCTCCAGGCTTGGTGCCCGGTGGACGCTGGATTGAGTAGGCAAGGCAGCACAGGGAAGCATCTGGACACAGGTGCATGAAGGATTCCTGCCTCGTGCAGTAGGTCCGGCAGGCCCCCTGGCCGTTCCAGCACCGTTTGAACTCAGTGCTTCCTGGGTGGAAGAAGACCACAGATCACAGAACAGCCTGTGGGCCACGGGTTAGGCCACACTGGTAACAGATCAGTGCTCCGGTCATTTGTTAGGCCACAAGTCATAAGTGAGAGCACTGAGTTATAATGTGAGGTTAGACTACCGGTTAAGAGAATGATTTATTGTCCAAGTAAAGCCACCCACCAGCTACACGCTGAACACTTCTCTAACAGCTAATGACTGCAGTTGGCCTTATTGCAATCCCTCTTAAACAGGTGGAGAGGAGGTTAAAATCTTAATTAAATCATCATAGTCTCTCTCTCTCTCTCTCTCTCTCTCTCTCTCTCTCTCTCTCACACACACACACACACACACACACACACACAGATGATTACCTGGTGGCACATGACCCAGGACCAGAAGAGCCACAGTGAGCAGAACCCACGGTGCCATGGCCGCTGAGCTCCTGGGGAGGCCAATGGGAAGAAGTCAGGAGAGGAACCCAGCATACAGTCTTGCTGCCTGCCCAGCTTTTATGGTCTGCAGAGCCATGGGCAGCAAGTCCAGGTGGGAGGATGAGGCCACGTGATCCCAAGGTTGTTTAACTCCCTTATGGCTAGCTCTATGTGTAATAGCCAGCAACATCCTCCTAAGGCTGTGCAAGGACTTGAGGTCTGAGAGAGAGGGAAAGAGAGAGAGAGAAATGAATCTTCCCAGCCTATGAGAGTAAGAAAACACTTGAGAAAGGCCTGCTTCTGTCCAGCATCTTCCCATGTGATTGCCAATACTGACTGTCAACTTGACAGCATCTCTGATCACCTAAGAAGGCCAACATTTAGGTATGTCTATAATTTCTAGGTTGGCTTAACGGAGATGGGAAGACACACCCTAAATGTAGGCAACCTCTCCACGGGCCAGGATCATCCTGGACTGGACAGAAAAGAGAAAATGAGCTGAGCACCAGTATTCTCTCTCTCTCTCTCTCTCTCTCTCTCTCCCTCTCCACCCTCACAAAGATACAAGACCACCTGCTTCCTGATGCCCACACTGATGGATGGTACCCTCAAACCATAAGCCAGACAGACCCTTCCTCCTTTAAGTTGATTTTGTCACAACAATGACAGAAGTCACCAACCCACTCCCTATTCATTGTGAGAGCTTAAACAAGTCACCAAACTGCGAAGAGGCCCAGTGTGCCACCTACAAAATGATGACAGCCGTCCTTTTCTCTCTTTGAATTAATTACTTCTTTTTATTGGGTTTATTTATTTTATTTTATGGGGCTGTTCTTTTTCTGCATGCGTGTGTGTGCACCAGGTGTGTGCATTGTGCTTACAGAGGTCAGAAGGTGAACAGATCTCCTGGAACTGGAGTTAGGGATGGTTGTGAACCACCATGGGGGCACTGGGACCTGCACTGGGTCCTCTGCAAGAGCAGCAAATGCTCTTAACCACTGAGCCATCTCTCCAGTCCCTAGGTCTACTCTGAAAATGGAAGAACACTTTCCCGGTAGAAAGCAATAACCACCTTCGGAGCATTGAATGAAACAAGGTTCTCAAAGTGTGGTCCCTGGAGCAGCAAACCCTTACTCCTCCCTGAGAGACATGCGTACTCCCCAGCCCTACCCCAAATTTCTGAATCAAAGAGCCATGGAAGTCCTCCAGGCCTTTCTAAAAATACCACTACAGACAGAGCCACCAAGATAACACATGCGCAGAGCTTAGCTTGGCATCTGGTACATAAGCGTCTAGGTTACATCAGGAAAGATGAGCAGGGAAAGGGTATCCCCAACAAAGGGAGCAGAATGGACCTGAAAGGGCAGGTCACAGCATCAAGGCCTCCTTAGAAGAGGCTGAAATGACTACTGGCCATGATGTCTTAAATGCCAAGTTAGCACTTCTGTGTCATAGAGAAAAAAATGTGTCTATTTGTTTGTATATTTTAGGAAGGTTAGCTCCAGTTACTTTTTCCTTGAGTGTTAAGACAGCTTTACGCTGTGCAGATAGGCTGGCCCAAAATTTACTATGTAGCTCAGGCTGGCCTGGAACCCAAAATCCTCCTGCCTCAACCCTCAAGTGCTGGAATTCATAGGTATACCCCGCCACATCCATCCAGCAGATTACAATTTTAAATCAAGAAACTGAACCCCAAGCTGGGGAGTTGACTTGACTATGGTCACTCAGTGACTGAGTCACAGAACAAGGGCTGGAAACTAGGTCACCACTCCCAGGCACAGCTCAGCTCATCCTGCAGGGAGCCTGGGGCAGACAAGCCACATGGTAGAAGCATGATCACATTTGTGTCTTTCCCCAGTGCCAGAATTTATTGAAAGACAGTGAAGCCACAAGCTATGTCTATTTCACTAGCTGCAATTTATCAGGCAGTCATGGCTTAATGATTGGTCCTTGGCAGTCTCAGAGCCTTTTATTCCAATCTTAATTATTAATATTACACTTCACACAGTTTTATATGCATGTAACTGTCTATATAGGTGTGTGTGTGTGTGTGTGTGTGTGTGTGTGTGTGTGTGTGTGCGCGCGCGCGCGCATGCTATTGTATAGCTACAACAAGAGGTTAAAGCAGCCACAGAGTTCAAAGAGTACCACTGGAGGCAGAAGGCAGATAGGACCAGAGAAGTCACCACCAGTGGTAAGACAAGATGTTAACAACATAAGTAGACAGCTTCTGGAGGCTCACAGAGCCCAGACACAGGGTTGAGCCACGAGCCAGAGAGGCCAGCAGGACCAGTCTAGCCGGATAAGTGGATGGACAGCGGTTGAATGAATGGTAATTCAAGCAGGCCATGTCAAATAGTGGAGACTGCTGAGCTGAAGCCCTGGATAACTGGGAGATCTTTTTGTCCCTTGACATGTGCAGCAGGTGGTCACATGACAGGTCTGTGGGGATGTTGCCATGGCTGCATCACTTGGCCTTTCTATGGGGTCCAGGTGAGGGTGCCATGCCCTTTACAAATCTGGTGTTCTGTAAGTCCACCTGTCTGTTTTTCTGCTGCAGTTCTCATACACCGATGAGTCTCCATGGGCCCAGTCTGCTTTGATAAGCTGACAGAGGCTGCGTTTTCCCTTGTAGGACTAAGTTGACTGTGGCTCTCTGCCTCCTGGGTGGTGCTCACGGAAGGTAGCATCTACTTCCCGCTCTGCAAGTGCAGTCAAAACGAAGCCAGCTGCCACTCTGAAAGGTGGGGTCACCCAAGGCGAGGCACAACCCGGAAGCCGCCTTCTGCAGGGTGCTGAAACTCGGGAGCTGAGCACAGCCTGATCTCCAGGCTGCGGAAGAAAGTCAGACCAGAGGGAAGTTGCTCTCACCCCAAGCCCTGCGGGGGCTGAGCCAGCCTACCCTGCTTCATACATCTGTTCCAAACCTGGAGCCCCTCAGCCGTGACCGGGAGCCTCACCACAGGTACAACCTGGCCTCCTGCCCCTCTGCCAGCACCACACGAAAGTGGCTCCCCGCTCAGAGTGTTTGACTCCTGGCCTTGCAGCCAGCTCCTTCCCCAAGATCAGTGTCTTTCCTGATTCGACATGCCTACGACAGTTTCAGTGGGTAACTAACCGTGCATAGACTGGACCATGAGATGGCTCAGCAGGTAAAGGCGCTGCTGCCAGCTCTCACAACGTGAGTTCAATCCCCCAAACCCACATGGTAGAAGGAGAGAACCATCTCCTGCAAGTTGTCTTCTGACGCCTAAACAGATTCCATGGCAAGCTCTCCCCGCTCCCTGCCCCCAGCAAGTAAATGTTTTTAAGTATTAATTTTTTAAAGGGGACAGTAAACTGAAGGACAGATGCCTTAGTCCTTACTTATCATGAGCAAACGGATGGCGAGTGAATTAATGATAGCAAAATCAGACATTCCGAACTCTTTACTACAGACGACATAGACTCTCTCTTCTTCCAATCCCTTTTCCAAAATTACCCCTCCACCCAGGGCTTTCTCAAAGTGTGTTCTCTGAGTTATCTGCGCCGCTCGGGCATTTGTTTAAAACGCAGACTCCTTAGCCCAAAGCCCACTCCTGCAGAATCGCCTCCCTTGCAAGATGGAACCTGGAACCCTGAACACCAAGTTCCCCTTAGAGGCTTCCGTCCAGTGCTGAAGTTGGTGTGCCCCGGTAGGTAAGGGGAGCGAAGGTGGACACAGAGGGACATCTAGAGCAAGAAATAAACTCAGTCTCCGGCACCCCATTCCTACACGGCCACCCCCACCTCAGGCGGAGGATTGGAGGAGGTCTACAGGGCGGGGACCCGGGCTGCCTTGACAGGGCGGGGCCGCACGGGGCGGGGTGGCGCTGGACCGGGCGGGACCGGCCGGGGGCTGCGCGCCGAGGCCGGGGGCCAGCAGAGTACCCAACAGCTGGGGCGGTGGGGACTTGGAGCCACCGCGCATCAAGGTAAACTTGCCTGTCCGGACGGAGTTCTCCCGACCCCTGCACGCAGTGTGAGGACTAGGAGCCTCAAACCCGCCTTCCAAGGGGTGCGGGGGAGGGGAGCAGGGTGGGAGAGCCTGGCACAAGGGACACCGCCACCACCCCCGCGCGTCCCAGGACTCGGAACTCACATCCAGGACCGCGAGTCGGGAAAGTTCCAACCCAGACTCCCCGAAAGGGCTCTTAAGTCCCGAGCCTTGTGGGCTCCCCTCTCGGTTCCCCTCCTGCACCCTGTTCTGTCACCAAACCTGTTGCCGAATCCCTCACAGCCTCCCACCCTCCCCAACAACAGCTGGGGGCCATGGCGCCAGCGGCTTCTGAATTTTTCACACAGGGGCGGGCCGGGCACGCCGTTCCCATGGCACCAGGGCACTCGGGTTACAGCCAGAGAGATCCCCCGGGAGCCCCTCGCCCTTGTGGGGCACCAACGCACCGTGCCCTTCCTCTTCCGGCAGCAGGAATAAAACTTCCCAGAGACCTCAGCTCTCCTCGGTGTCCCCCAACTCTGAACAAGTGAAGGAGACGGGGCGGGGGGGGGGGTTCCGATGCTTTCTGTAGAGAGGGACACCCTCCCTGGTCTGGGTAGGCAGGATGTGTGCGCTGTAGATGCTCGAGGTCTCCCAACTTGCTGCAGCCCTGTCTGTATCTGTGTCATGGGGGAAAGGGGTCATCCTCGGATCCTGGTAATCTGCATCTGGGTGTGCGCATCTGTGAGTGTTCACAGCCTGTGCCCTCGCCCCTTCTAGGCTGACCCGGTGGATTCTAGGCCTGAAACCAACAACGGCCCCAATCCCACGGTACTGAAAAGTCTCTTCCTAGTTGAACCAGAGAGGACTCTGGAGGAAATCATTTCCGAAAGTTCATCAGGACCCAGAGAAGAAGAGACTCCGGGCTTCGGACTTACTGCCCAGCCCCTTCTTTGGAAAGGAAGGAAGGAGCCAGGGAAGTTAGAGATCTCCTCACTGAGGATGACTCTTAACACCCAGCAAGAAGCAAAGACCACCCTGCGCCGTAGAGCCAGCACTCCACTGCCCCTGTCGGCCAGGGGCCACCAGCCTGGCCGCCTGTGCACAGCGCCCCCTCCTCAATCCCAGCATCCCCGACTGGGCCAGTCAGCCTCCCTCAACCCACCCGTTCGGAACCCCTCCGCTGTCCAGGATGGGTGGTCCTCTGAATCCAGTGACTCTGAAGGCTCTTGGGAGGCCCTCTACCGGGTGGTGCTGCTTGGAGACTCCGGTGTTGGGAAGACCAGCCTGGCCAGCCTCTTTGCAGGGAAACAAGATCGGGAGCTTCATGAACAGCTGGGAGGTAGGAGCCCTGTGGGACAAGCCATGCTGTGACCATAGGACTGAAGTCAGTGACCAGGGGCACAAGATTGCAGGTCACACACTGTCCGACTCAAAAAGGGCATCATTCCCACATGCTGGGAAGGAAATGATGCTCACCTAGGACTGTGCAGGACACAGTCTGGACTGGGCTAGAGGAGGGACATTGGATGAAAGGTATATGATTTGTCTCCATGTCTTAAGGGGAGAAAATCTGAAGCTATGGGTGGGCTTTCACCCAGCTTGGAATTTCCGAGCCCCAAAACCTCCTGACTCTCAGACTCCCTCCCCTCCCATCTGTAAGCCGCCAAGACCTAAAAGAAAACTAACATTCTTCCCAAATGGAGGGTTTCGGAACTCCAGTTCTGAGCTCTGGATTGCTTTACACCCCAAAATGCATTGAGCACGTGGGGTCAGGTGCCACAGGGCCATAGGCCCCAAGACAAGCAGATACACAGGAGGAGGACAGACGTGAAGATAGGCCCCTGCAGGACTGGCTGTGATGACACAGGGTATGTAGGGAAGGAGTAGCTAAACAGGGAGAGAAAATGGGGACCATCTAGCCAAGCCGTTCCCCAGTAATGACTTCCCTGGGAGTAGTGTACATATGCAGACCTGTGCATAAGAGATGGGGACACTGAAGCCGGTGATAACATGACCTGCCTAAGTGCACACTGAGCTAGACTGGAGGGGGGGGTTCCCAGGCTACCCCACTAGCCCACATTCATTCAACTGACAACACCAGCTTCTCGCAAGTGCCTGCCATGTGCCAAGTACACAGCTGTGTGACACATGAACAGGATCCCCAACCCCAAGGAAGTGTGAGGAAAGGGGAGGCAAGGGAACCCTGTAGCTCCAAGGGCCTGCTCCACCCTCAGACTCCACCCTCCCACTTGGTTGCAGATGTGTACGAGAGAACCCTCTCGGTGGATGGAGAGGACGCCACACTGGTGGTCATGGACACCTGGGAGGCCGAGAAACTGGTACGACACTGTAAGCATGCCTAGGGTGAGGGATGCTAAAATGGATAATATTAGACACCTGTCTAATACAGGTGGGGCATACAGGGCAGGGATTAGCGTGGAGACAGCCTCAGCACCCCTCCCCCAAACCTATAGCTTTTCCAAAGGCAGAAGGACCTCACAGCGCTGACCTCTGTCCTCTCTGTCCCCTCCCAGCCCTCCCAGCAGACATCCCAGAATGCACTTCTCCCTTTGCATGCCTCCTCATCTTTATGCCCATGCCCACATTTGGAGAAAAAAAAAAGGAAAAAAGAAAACCACAAACAAAACCACCAAGTTGTGTCATCTTTCCTGTAAACCTAAGCCTCATAAAGGAAGTTTAGGGCACAGTGTTAAGCCAGGCCTGGTGGCACACATCCTAGTACTTGGGAGGCAGAGGCAGGCGCATCTCCGAGTTGGAGGCCAGCCTGGGCTACATAGTAAGTTCCAGGACAAATAGGGCTCTGTAGAGAGACCCTGTTTCAAAAAGAACTAAGTGGGCAGTGTTCAGTGGCTGACAGAGCTGCTGACAGAACCAAAGAAGAGAGCAAGGGGGCTGTGTGGGCAGCTCCTGTTCACTCTTTTAGATAGGGCCTCACGATTACCGCCATTTTTTTTTTTTTGAGCTATATTGTCTGGGGGAGGGGTACAAGCACAGGTAGAAGTCAGAAGACAATCTGCTGAAATCAGCTCTCTCCTTCTATCCTGTGGGTCTGGGGATCCAACTTGGATCCTTCAGCTTGGTAGCAGGCACCTTCACCTGGCCATCAAATGCTTGATCCTCCTGCCTCAGCCTCCCCAGGGCTGCAATTACATCATGCATGCATCCTCATGTCTGGCTTGGACAATTCCTTTCAACAAGTATAAAATGATGTGCAGGTGGGAGTGAGCCTAAGGATACTCTTAAAAGAGCAACTGGGGTTTATGGTGCCTCCTCCCCCTCACCCCATGCTGGAAAATGACGGACAAATGCTATGATGTGCAGTTAAAGCTGTGAAGCCACTCGTCTACTTCCCTTTCTGTCAACGAGCACGCTCAGAAAGGCTGCGTCCTCAGCTCTTGAGAGCCGGCAGATCAGGCCCACAACTCCACAGCTAATCCTGGGACTCTGTCCCCATCTGCCCCGGGAGCAACCCTTTCTGAACCTTCAGCTTAAACCTCACTTTGGTGTTCTTAATTACTCAGGTGGCTCAGAGACAGAGAGCCACCACACGGTGTATCACAGCTTCCACAGCAGCAGGGTGGAACTGTCTCTGAGGACTGAACTCCGAACTACCTTCCAGAAGCCTCTTCACTATTACACGGAAGGCAGTTTGGGCCAGTCAATTTCCGAGTACCAAAGCCTCTTCTCAATCTAGGGGTTGTTTTAAAGGAACCATCACCTAAGCAGTTCTCAGCCATACAAGACATCCTGGTTTGCCAGGTATGTCCTCTGAGAATCCTTTTGGAAAAGCAACTCCATAAACCTCAGATAACAGTCACTGACTCTTTACAGAAGGGTACGTCAAAGCCTAGGTACCATCGCTCCAGAATTTACGCCAGGTACAATGGCTCTCTCTGGTAAACTCCTCACTACAGTCTCACTTCCTCGCTCATTCATTCATTAGAAACGCTTGCTGGGAATCTGTAGTGAGCCCGAAAGCTGAAGACCCTCGAGTGAATAAGTCAGACAAGGTGCTAGCTTCATGGAGCTCATCAAGAAAGAACTGCTTTCTGAATAGGAATCTGTGGGGTGGTCAGTGAGTTAGGGAGACCAGTCAAGGGCCAGGCATGGGGGCCTGCAAGATGGCTAAGCCTAGCAAGGGGGCCTGTCGCCAAGCCTGACAAGCAGAGATTTACACACACACACACCCCAAAGTGGAAGGGAGAAATCTGCTCCTGAAAGTTGTCCTCTGACCTCGATGTTGCACTTAGGTTTGGGGGTTGTTTTGTTTTTTTTGTTTTTTGTTTGTTTGTTTGTTTGTTTGTTGTAACATGTGCTCTGGGAATCAAATTCAGTCAAACTCTGGTCCTCACGTGTGCAGCGCGCACGCCACCCAGGGAGCTATCCTCCAGGCCCTGACATTCTACATCTGTCTGATTCTACTCGAATGTTATTTGGCCTGAGGGATGAGCAATATAGCTGTTGAGCATGCATCTGCCCCCCACCCCACCCCCACCCCCACCAAGGACCTGATTCATCTCTGCTCATCTCTCCTGCTCTCCAGCATCTTCCTCCCTTTCTACACACCGAGCCTCTCCCACTGCGGCTGGTAAGACTGGCCCTTTCCTTCCCCTGAACTGCCTTCTCCCCTGCTTTCAGACCCTGCTCCCCAGTGGTTCAGACCCTGCTCCCCAGAGGCTCCCCTGGTTCACTGGGGAGCCTCCCACACTCTTCATTCAGGCTTTACCTGATACCCCGCCCCAGCTCTCGCCCCCTCCTCCACCTCTGTTGCAGTCCCTCCTGATGGCCCTCGGCTACCTTGCATGGTGCCTCCCCATCCCCTAACCCGCCTTCCAGAACCCGAGCCTCCAGGACAGGAGTGAGACCTCATTAAAGGCCTGAAATCTACACTCTAGGAGCTCTGCCTCTGTTATTCTGGTTCTTTCCTTTCCTTGGTCAAACCACTAGAAAAGAGCTCTGCTTCTTAAGTGTCCCTTTCCACTCCCATCCCTTTCTGTCCTCACCCCACACACAATGGACCTTTCAGCTCTCTCCAAAACTGTGCTGAGAAAGGCCTCCCCTGAATTTAGCCTTCTGTTCTCTCTCTCTCTCTCTCTCTCTCTCTCTCTCTCACACACACACACACACACACACACACACACTTTTATTACCAGGTTCGTAGCTTTGTGTGAGTGTGTTTGTGTGTGTGTGTGTGTGTGTGTGTGTGTGTGTTGATGTGCATGTGTA